CTTCAAGACATTCATGTGGGGAGGGGTAGAAGTAACTTCAAGACATTCATGTGGGGAGGGGTAGAAGTAACTTCAAGACATTCATCTGGGGAGGGGTAGAAGTAACTTCAAGACATTCATCTGGGGGAGTGGTAGAAGTAACTTCAAGACATTCATGTGGGGAGGGCTAGAAGTAACTTCAAGACATTCATCTGGGGAGGGGTAAAAGTAACTTCAAGACATTCATGTGGGGAGGGGTAGAAGTAACTTCAAGACATTCATGTTGGGGAGGGGTAGAAGTAACTTCAAGACATTCATCTGGGGAGGGCTAGAAGTAACTTCAAGACATTCATCTGGGGGAGGGGTAGAAGTAACTTCAAGACATTCATGTGGGGGAGGGGTAGGAGTAACTTCAAGACATTCATGTGGGGGAGGGGTAGAAGTTACTTCAAGACATTCATGTGGGGAGGGGTAGAAGTTACTTCAAGACATTTATATGGGGAGGGGTAGAAGTAACTTCAAGACATTCATATGGGGAGGGGTAGAAGTAACTTCAAGACATGCTTCGGGGGGAGGGGTAGGGGTAACTTCAAGACATTCATCTGGGGAGGGGTAGAAGTAACTTCAAGACATTCATGTGGGGAGGGCTAGAAGTAACTTCAAGACATTCATGTGGGGAGGGCTAGAAGTAACTTCAAGACATTCATGTGGGGGAGGGGTAGAAGTAACTTCAAGACATTCATCTGGGGGAGGGGTAGAAGTAACTTCAAGACATTCATGTGGGGGAGGGGTAGAAGTAACTTCAAGACATTCATGTGGGGAGGGGTAGAAGTAACTTCAAGACATTCATCTGGGGAGGGTTATGGGGAGGGGTAGAAGTAACTTCAAGACATTCATCTGGGGAGGGTTATGGGGAGGGGTAGAAGTAACTTCAAGACATTCATGTGGGGAGGGGTAAAAGTAACTTCAAGACATTCATGTGGGGGAGGGGTAGAAGTAACTTCAAGACATTCATGTGGGGAGGGGTAGAAGTAACTTCAAGACATTCATCTGGGGAGGGGTAGAAGTAACTTCAAGACATTCATATGGGGAGGGGTCGTAGTAACTTCAAGACATTCATCTGGGGAGGGGTAGAAGTAACTTCAAGACATTCATCTGGGGAGGGGTAGAAGTAACTTCAAGACATGCATCTGGGGGAGGGGTAGGAGTAACTTCAAGACATTCATCTGGGGAGGGGTAGAAGTAACTTCAAGACATGCATCTGGGGGAGGGGTAGGAGTAACTTGAAGACATTCATCTGGGGAGGGGTAGGAGTAACTTCAAGATATGCATCTGGGGGAGGGGTAGGAGTAACTTCAAGACATTCATCTGGGGAGGGGTAGAAGTAACTTCAAGACATTCATCTTGGGAGGGTTATGGGGAGGGGTAGAAGTTACTTCAAGACATTCATGTGGGGAGGGGTAGAAGTAACTTCAAGACATTCATCTGGGGAGGGGTAGGAGTAACTTCAAGACATTCATCTGGGGGAGGGGTAGGAGTAACTTCAAGACATTCATCTGGGGAGGGGTAGAAGTAACTTCAAGACATGCATCTGGGGGAGGGGTAGGAGTAACTTCAAGACATTCATCTGGGGAGGGGTAGAAGTAACTTCAAGACATTCATCTGGGGAGGGGTAGAAGTAACTTCAAGACATTCATCTTGGGAGGGTTATGGGGAGGGGTAGAAGTTACTTCAAGACATTCATGTGGGGAGGGGTAGAAGTAACTTCAAGACATTCATCTGGGGAGGGGTAGGAGTAACTTCAAGACATTCATCTGGGGAGGGGTAGGAGTAACTTCAAGACATTCATCTGGGGAGGGGTAGAAGTAACTTCAAGACATACATCTGGGGGAGGGGTAGGAGTAACTTCAAGACATTCATCTGGGGAGGGGTAGAAGTAACTTCAAGACATGCATCTGGGGGAGGGGTAGGAGTAACTTCAAGACATTCATCTGGGGAGGGGTAGGAGTAACTTCAAGATATGCATCTGGGGGAGGGGTAGGAGTAATTTCAAGACATTCATCTGGGGAGGGGTAGAAGTAACTTCAAGACATTCATCTTGGGAGGGTTATGGGGAGGGGTAGAAGTAACTTCAAGACATTCATGTGGGGAAGGGTAGAAGTAACTTCAAGACATTCATCTGGGGAGGGGTATGGGGAGGGGTAGAAGTAACTTCAACACATTCATCTGGGGGAGGGGTAGGAGTAACTTGAGAAGATCGTAACTCGTATACTTTAACATACACTTACGACTGTCGTAGCGCTTGAACCAGACAATCGAATGACTAACATCATGAGCATCGATCTAAGCAATTATGATACGATGACATATCTATCAACCAAGTCAGCGAGTCTGACCCCCCGATTCCGTTAGTTGTCTCTTTTGACAAGCAAGGGGTGCTGAACAAAATTCAGATCCGGATGTTCACGGGTGCATGCACTCACGTACAGCCCTACTTAAACTACTTACAGGGTTTCAGATTTCAGTCGTGTTGAATATAATTTTTGGGTAAAATCTGAACAAGCCAAAACACTTCATTCCTAGCCATGCACCACTGTTCATGGGTAAGCGTAGTTTGTCAACACCAAGCTAGCAGGCTAAGGGGAATTTCCGTCATGAGAGAGGAACCTGCCATTCCATCTCCGTATGTTTATCAACATAAGTTACATTGACAAGATTTCAGGGTCACGGGAGGTAGTCACGTGACTTACGTGACCCCTCATGTCAGGTAACCTTATTACGTGCTATATACAAGAACAGCCATGTGGGCATCTCTATGGTGTGTTTCTGATTTCTGACGCTTATCGCGGACTGAACGAGAATGTCTGGCAACATGATGTCAAAATTACAATATTCAGTTTTGTATATGTATGACCTTGACTGAACATGGAGTTGTGGAATAAGTATGTTACTGGGAGTGTGTGTGTGTGTGTGTGTGTGTGTGTGTGTGTGTGTGTGTGTGAGCAACATTGCCATTTTTTGTCATCATTCGTGAAAGATTCTTCTTCTATCTGATAGGCCAGCTGCTGTCTTGAAAAACCCCACATTCATTCCAACTGGCCGTGCTGTAGGTTGTCATGACGCCACATTGTGTTTTCTTTATAACGGACACTGACATCACGGAAGAAAAGAAATGGGGTTAGAAGTAATGCCGATGCCACGTTAAATTGTAGCTCTCTCACTTACCGAGGGTCCGTTGGCGGTCACAAGACACATTAAAGCTTACCACGAATATCATACTTTGTGAGGTTTCACATTCGTTACTTGCGTCATCTCTAGCGGCGTGCACGGGATATTAAGCGACTGATACCTGGGACTCCTCATACATGTCAGTGTTCTCTGTTAAAGGGTGGCCCACTGGGAAAGAGATAGGGACCGACCATGTGATACTCTGGTGCCCGACAATTCTTAAAAATAATAATTATGCTTCAGTCTGTTAAAAAACAAAACCTGCCACAAAAATTACATTGCTCCATGGTGTTTTTCCTTTTAATTTTTTTCAGTCTCATAGATTTAAATAAAAAATATATCTGGTTTTGTAGCTGTAGCTGAAACATATCTTATCTCGATAAAAAAAACAACCTTGGAATGCACTTGTGTGCTATCTCGATAAAAAAAAAGCCTTGGAATGCACTTGTGTGCCACAAGCTAGTCTCCAGCTACTTCTAATAGTCTCCTGCTACTTCTAATAGTCTCCTGCTACTTCTAATAGTCTCCAGCTACTTCTAATAGTCTCCAGCTACTTCTAATAGTCTCCAGCTACTTCTAATAGTCTCCTGCTACTTCTAATAGTCTCCTGCTACTTCTAATAGTCTCCAGCTACTTCTAATAGTCTCCAGCTACTTCTAATAGTCTCCTGCTACTTCTAATAGTCTCCAGCTACTTCTAATAGTCTCCTGCTACTTCTAATAGTCTCCAGCTACTTCTAATAGTCTCCAGCTACTTCTAATAGTCTCCTGCTACTTCTAATAGTCTCCAGCTACTTCTAATAGTCTCCAGCTACTTCTAATAGTCTCCTGCTACTTCTAATAGTCTCCTGCTACTTCTAATAGTCTCCTGCTACTTCTAATAGTCTCCTGCTACTTCTAATAGTCGACAATGCAACAAAAGTCAGGTGAACCTCGGTGGAACCATGCATGGATGGGAGGGAGGCGATGAATAAATTCCATTGTTAATTTGTCAAATAAGGAAATACATATTTGAACATTATTTAGGGATTGGTTATTTGGTATGTGTGTGTGTGGAAGGGGTGTGGGAGGGGTGTGGATGGGGTGTGGGTGTGGGAGCATGATATAATAATAAATGTATTGATGGGCGTGTGAACAAATGTTACTTTAAATGGGTGTCATAAAATTTGATTCGGGTCTGAGACCAATCGTACCCTCCCCGGCACCACACACACACACACACACACACACACACACACACACACACACACACACACACACACACACACACACACACACACCACCCCCAACCACCATAATAAATTACCTTACCTCATAGCGGTTACCATTCTAGGAGTTGTATGGATTAACATAGCGATGCTTCAGTCAAGTAACTGTCAGATTGTAAATTAATTATTTTAATTAATTTTTAGACGTTTGTAGTGACATTGTATTACACGCATTTTGCGGAGAAAGTATATAAAAGTGTTAGTTTAAATTATTGCTTTTGGTAATAACAATCGCCATGCATTTTTTGTTTTGTCATGGTATTGGTACGCAAGTAGTTCTAAAAAACTAAATCAGTTGCTATGACAGTGGACTTCACGCATCTTACAAAACAATGATAAACTAATATACTTTTTGATAATGACTGACTAGCAAACCTTTCGAGAATTATCGTGCTAATTGCTTGATAAGAGGAAAATTGATATTTTGGATATTCATAATTTCCGACACCCTCTCACGCAGAATGTTGAAACACACTATAGTCTGATAGGGGAGCCCCATTCCGGATAACGCTAAGCATTATGGGACGACTAAGACAGATGTTCTAACATGGCGACCTAGAGAGGTGCAGGGAATTCCCTCGATATAAGTTTGGAGTTTGGACATTTGACAAGCCGCATTCTACAAACAGACAGGAGAGTAGCCAGTAGGATTTAATTAGCTGAATTTTCGATCATGGTGGATTCTTATCATTATGTAAGGTGGGTGATCGCAGCATTTACTGATTGATTCGAGACCCACTTTTGAAAACGTCTTTTCTCAAACAATGCCGTGAGAACTCGGAGTGACTCATGGGCATCCCTCTTTATTTGTGAGACATGACAGACATTTCAACAAATGTATTTGTGTTATTCGGCCTCTGGATGACGAGACGCTCAATAGTTTATGTTTTGTTTGTGTTTTGATCAGGAGGTTTCCGTGTGCTAAAGTTTGGACAATGCCATCTCGCACTGTGTGTTTTGTGTGCGGCAGTGTGGGCGCCGAACTCTCTATTCATATCAAGTCGAGAGACAAAGGACCCTACTTCCCTTTTCTGGAGCACCACGATCCGCCCAAAGGTTCCCGTCTGCCAGGCCCAGATGGTCTCGTAGACAGCTGTAGAGTGTGTTATGCTTTTCTTACTCAGCAATGGGAAGCGTATGAGAGAAGCAAAACTCCCGCCATCAAAAGACTGTATTGGCTGAAGAGAGCTGACAACGGTCATTTTACAGGTGCGGAAATGAAACTGCAAGGGGAGTATATGGCACAAGTAATGGGATTACAATATCAGACAACCAACGACTCTTATAACCCTTCTTCATCCCCAGAGAGACCGTCTTACTCTCGGGATGGTTATTTAATTCCAAGCAACCATCACACCAGGGACCCCCCTCGAAGTCACCACGCTGTTCATCAAGCACCTGATGGAGCTCTGGACCTGTCCGTTGGCCCAACTAAAGTAGCAACCGACCTGGCGCGTGCTGGCCACAGCCAACGTCATGTTGTTAGAGATTCTTACACCTGCTTTACCTGTGGCAAAGAAAAGCAGATATCTCATTGTAAACTTGCATCAGCTGTCAGACAGGCAGGCAATGAGCCGTATTTTCCATTTCTAGAAAAGATCGTCCCACCAAGGGGCGCATCATCGATAAGTAGCCAGGGATTGGTGCAGTTGTGTGAACATTGTTTTACATCCTTATTTCAACAATGGCTAACATATGAGAGGGCCGGGGTGCCCCCTAGTGCGAGGATGTATAGTGTGGGAGATGATCACATCACTACTAAGTCCCAGGGCGTCCGAGAAATACGGGAATCTTACGAGAAGGAAAAAACATCAGATGCAGAGACATGCTACCTGTGCGGCCAGTCATATCCTATCAAGTCCATTAGGCCTCTGTACACGATTCCATCCCAAGAAAATAAACTTGTTATGTATTTTCCCTTTATTAGGGAACTTAGGCGGCCCCATGGATCGCGTCCTTTGAACCCTGATGGAACCGTCCTAGTTTGCCAAAATTGTCATCATAATCTCCAAAGCCAGTGGTGTCATTATGAAGCCAAAAAGATTCCTTTAATTCAGAGGAGATACTCATTATTGCCAGTCAGTGGGTCGTACACAGTACCGCTACCTGATAAACCACATCATAGCAAGGACTCGGAGAAGCCTCACCCCAAGCCCCCCTCTGATGGGTCTGATGTCACCCAGCCACTCAACATCCAGATCAGCAAAAGCCCCCTCCCTTCCTCCCTTCCTGGTAGTGCCCAAGGACTTTTGGCCATTGCTCAGCCAATGGTGAAGACCGAGGCCGTGGAGGGGCAGGGTTCATCAGTGCCGCCTACAATCCCCAACAGTGTCAACAATGCATTGGCTGCCAAGGTTCTCGAGCATCATCGTCAGCTCGCCGAAACCAAGCCATCATCGTCATCAGGAGCATCGATTCCCCATCCACTACAACAAGCAACCTCCATACCGAAGAAGGTATGTTTTATCTGTGGCGAAAAATGTCTGATTACCAAAGCACGCACTTTATGCTCATACCCAATGCGGCACGAAGCCAAGACACCCAACAGCCAGTCAGCACCATACTTTCCATTCTTGGCCAGTCGAGATCCGGCACCAGGGGCCGAGCTCAACACCGAAGACGGAACCGTGACCGCATGCTCCTACTGCTTCTGCTCACTCATTACTCAGTGGAAAGAGTTTGAAGAATCCAAAGATCCAGAAGACCACAAGCGCTGGGTGAGGAAATATTCAGTGCAGGACTTTGTCTGTTATGTTTGTGGAACATCAGTTGCGAGGAAAGCAATGAGAACACTCGAAGTTCACAAGTTCCCTTTCCTGAAGGAACACAAGGCCCCACCTCACGCCCTGGTGTTCAGCAGCGGGGAAGAGATTGCTGCGTGTAGCTCGTGTGCCTTCAGTCTACGTCATCAGTTCGCAGAGAACGAGAGGATGGGCGTCCCTGACGATCACCGGAAGTACAACTGGATTCAGCAGCCTCATCAGTCGCAGGTCGTGGAGGAGAATAGCAGCGACTCGCGGGAACAGGTAGGACCAGTCTGCCTTTCAGCCCTTGTTACAGCCCCAGTGAAACCGATGTTGTTGATCTTTGTGGTTAATAAATCGGAATAATTTGCACTGAAAATGGTTGGGCTAGTACTCATAGATTATAGAGTTGGGGCTAGTACTACTACTAGTGGCAGAGCATATATTTTTTCCCCACAGAATGATGAATTCTGGTTATGCTGGGAGGGCCTTAAAAATGTCAGCTTTGCACACAAATGTGATGTCATGGGAAAAGCAGTTTGAGTAGCAACCTCAGAGCAGCAATCCCAACCCTCAGAGTAGCGACCTCAGACCCCCAATCCTCAGGGTAGCAACCTCAGACCTCCAACCCTCAGAGCAGGAACCCCCAACCCTCGGGGCAGCAGCCTCAAAGCAGCAATCACCAACCCTCAGGGCAGCAGCCTCAGAGCAGCAATCCCCAACCCTCAGAGCAGCAACCTCAAAGTAGCAATCCCCAACCCTCAGAGCAGCAACCGCAGACCCCCAACCCTCAGGGCAGCAACCTCAGACTCCAACCCTCAGGGCAGCAACCTCAGATCCCAACCCTCAGAGCAGCAACCTCAGACCTCCAACCCTCAGAGCAGGAACCCCCAACCCTCTGGGCAGCAGCCTCAGAGCAGCAATCCCCAACCCTTAGGGCAGCAACCTCAGACCCTCAATTCTCAGGGCAGCAACCTCAGACCCCCTACCCTCAGAGCAACAACCTCAGACCCCCAACCCTCATGGCAGCAACCTCCAAGTAGCAATCCCCAACCCTCAGAGCAGCAACCGCAGACCCCCAACCCTCAGAGCAGCAACCGCAGACCCCCAACCCTCAGGGCAGCAACCGCAGACCCCAAACCCTCAGGGCAACAACCTCAGACCCCCCAACCCTCAGGGCAGCAACCTCAGACCCCAACCCTCAGGGCAACAACCTCAGACCCCCAACCCTCAGGGCAAACCTCAGACCCCCAACCCCCAGGGCAACAACCTAACACCCCCAACCCTCAGGGCAGCAACCACAGACCCCAACCCTCAGAGCAGCAATCCCCAACCCTTAGGGCAGCAACCTCAGACCTCAACCCTAAGGGCAGCAACTTCAGACCCTCAGAGCAGCAATCCCCAACCCTCGGAGCAGCAACCTCAGACCCCCAACCTGCGGGTCAGCAACCTCAGACCCTCAACCTTCAGCAGCAACCTCAGACCCTCAACCATTCAGGGCAGCAATCCCCAACCCTTAGGGCAGCAACCTCAGACCCCCAACCCTTAGGGCAGCAACCTCAGACCCTCAACCATTCAGGGCATCAATCCCCAACCCTCGGGGCAGCAACCTCAGACCCCCAACCATTCAGAGCAGCAATCCCCAACCCTCAGGGCAGCAACCTCAGACCCCAAACCCTCAGAGCAGCAACCGCAGACCCCCAACCCTCAGGGCAGCAACCTCAGACCCCCAACCCTCAGGGCAGCAACCTCAGACCCCCAACCCTCAGACCTCCTACCAGCTTGCTCGTCCCATGCACACATTGTAATATCATGTTCAATGTCAACAACGGATGTTTGTTTGGTATGTGGCATTAAATTCCTTCAATTTGTTCAATGCCTTTTGAAATAGTGTTTTGTGTTGCCTTCATGATGACTACCAGGTGTGATGAGTGTCACCATAGATTTCATTTATTTACACAGGTAGAAACCATGGCAACCTTGGTAGAAGAACTAAACGCAACCTACACCACCCCTCCCCTCACCCCATGTCTCAGTTGCTGGGTAACTGTTTGAAATATTTTTATGACTCAAAGAGACGGTTGTGCAGTGACCCATAAGTGTTTCCTGCCCGCATTGACATTATAAATATTGAAAAATAACAACAAAATAAGAGACAAATTGCATCTGTTGTGTCTTGATTCAGTTGAAATAATACAAACAATTACTGGAGAATCTACAAAGAGTTATAATGTGCCAGACAGTTGGGTGACTGCAAGAAAGTTTCATGCAGCCCCGCTAGCCAGACAGAGAAGTTACCAGCCGCGGGCAGGCAGCTATTTCGGATACTGTCATAACCCAACGAAGTCTTTAGAAAATAGCATTTTCTCTATTTTTAAAAATTAATCTGGGATAAGAGATAATAAGTCTTAAGATAAGTTACAGAATTAGTAAAAATGAGAATTAGATGCAATTAACCAAACCGACAAAAAATACTGACTAAGAGAGATTTGAAGTTATGATTCCTTGCTGATCATTCTTAAACATTGAGACCGCCTCCGTGGTCTAATGGTAGAGAGTCCGCCCGGAGAGCGGAAGGTCCGGGGTGTGATCCCCAGCCGCGTCATACCAAAAGATGTTAAAAGATGGAACTTGTTGTTACCCTGTCTGGCGCTCGGCATTTAGGGGCTAAAGCAAGGTCTGGTCGGCTCGGAGTCAGTATAGTATACTGTGTCTGAATGGGGTATTCATGTTAAACTGCGGCATGGTATCTCAGTGTGCTAGCACTATAAATTGGCATCAGTCCGGACTAGTACAAGCAGCCACATACACGTGCATGCACGTCGCTATATAAGTGCAATAATCTTGGACGTGACGTTAAATCCCATTTCACCTCATCTCTTAAACTTTGAAAATAGTCAACCAGAGTTATTCCCCTTACATTTAGAGCAGCCACCTCCCCCAGATATTGTAGATATAGGGACACACATTCATAAAGTTTTAAAGCTTCAGAGTGAAACTTGGACTTGTGTTGATATATTTTAAAAAAAACCCCACTTGCATAAGATTGTGTATTTATGATGGTTTTACTGTTGAAATACTGTATTTATCTGAAAGAAACAGAATTTGTCTTACAATAGAAATAACTCTTTATGCCAGAGCTACTTTAAGTCAATAAGAATGGTCTTGAAAGTAAAATCATGCTGATCAGTAAGAAAATACATAGGACATTTGTCCCGTCCTTTCAGAAACCATGTTTATCTCATCACGTCCTGAAAATGTTGACATGTCCATTCATGGTTGCACCGCTGATGAAAATATCCTTTGTGTCTGGTCACTCCGGGAGATACACATGGTATATGACAAGAAAACACACAGCCTCTATGAACATGATAAATAATGAACAAAGTATTGTATCTTGCTTATGATATCAGTTGCGAATATATCACAGCCTGAGAACTAACAAATACGAAGTCATGTACCTTCGGTGCTATTAACAATATTGTTATTGGTAAATTTTTGTAACTTGCAATCAGTTATTTCTTATTATTATTTTGGATTACTAAGTAAACTGTTCCTTCGTATTATGATGTTACATGATTGCCCTTCATTTGTCAAGATTCAAATCAGGATAAAATAGTTAAATCCTCAGTCTGAAAACACATTGCCATCATTTGCTGTTAAGAAACACAACATGATTCATCTATCATGTTTGATGAAAAAGGGATCTTTGCACAAACTGTTCATGAATGAAAGATCATCCAATAAATGTAATCTTGGCCATCACTTGTGATAAATATCCTATCAGGTTCCTACTTGTGTGGCAATCACGTGATGGAATATGACATCTTCTGAGATTGCAGGTCAAACGTAACCAGATGTGGTGACATCAGCCCTATAGGCATGATGGGGTTGTTTATACAGTGCACGCCTCTGTGTTACATTTTTTTGTAGTTATGAAGTCAAAATCTGTTCGTGTCAAGGTAAACACTTGAGTGGTGACTCCTTAAGAATCCAATGACTTTCTAGATTATCTTATTAACCAACAGTCAACTATCAGTAGACATGTAATCAAATGTCTTTTCAGATCGAGAAACCTTACAGTGATAAACCTAGGATTTTCTTAAGGTGGGCCCTAGGGTCCATAGACCAACCCTCTAAGTAGCGACTATTTTGGTGGCCAAATGCGACTTAGATCTATGATTGAAATATTCCTGTTAGGAGTATCTTGGTTCCCTAGCAAGAAAACAAACTTAAAGAGCTGTAGACCTTGACAATTGTGGACCTTTCCATGAATATTGTGGGGCATGTTTATTGAATGTGATGCTGATGAACATAAAATAAACACATGAAGCATGCAAGACTACATGCAAATGCTGAATGTTCAAAGGCATAAGGCAGCTTCTGTTCCTCCGTCATTGTGGGTTACTGCAGAAACAATTCAAAGTTAAATCAGTCATAGCTTCCGCTATACCTGCCAGGTCTGGAGCAGACTGGTCATTTTCTGTGGAAGGGTGTGGGAGTCCCAAAGCTCATCCTAGGTTGTGCTTAAAGAAGGGTGACCCTGGCAATGATATGAACTGTATGGGATGTCACAGGTGTTATGTCTGTCAATCTTACAACAGACACTGCACATGCCCAGGTATTCATTTGCACCTGCGTAGGTGTTTATACAGATGGAATGTGAAAGTTTATTTTCCCTGCTGGTGTGTAAAAAATGTTATTACCCTTTGAGTCTCAAGTCTGATGTACTTGAGAACATGCATTCTATACACATTGGTCACTGCACAGCGTTGGCATACAATTTTGCACAGAGTCATGTGTTCATCTATCTTGAACCTCTCGACCTCACCATTTCTTTCAACCAAGTTGACAATAAAAAGTCTGGCATGCAAAAGTGACATGTAGGTCAAATATATTGATTGTTTTCTGAAAGAAAGAAAACAGCAGGAGACTGTACATTAGAACAAGAAAAGTTGTCTTGAATTTAAGAAGTTTCTAGTGTCACTGTCTTGAAATATTTAATATTTCTAAAAAAATTCTTTGAAAAAAAGAATTAATCTCTAGCATTTAGACATTTCAAGACATAAAATTATGCAAATAAATATGCATTTGACATTTATTTATAGTAACTTAGATGTAAACAGTTTATGTAGTCATAGTTCTGAAAGAACATTTAAAAGTGAAAATGATATATATCATATTTTGTTTTATTGTAGGATTCATATTTTGTATGTTTGAATAGCATATAAAGTTTTGAGCTTCATTAGAGTGCAAAATTTGATAGAAAAGCTTGAAACAAATGAAAATTTGCATATTGATTGATTAAAAAAGGCAAATTCCATGATTTTTATGCAATTCTGTGGTAAGTTACATTTTCACAGAACTGTACTGGGACTTGTAACAAATGTTATATTTGGGATAACACTTTGGGAGTAAAGAAGTGATTCTCGTACTTTTTGGATTGAGGCCCGTCCGGGACTGGTGATAAGCTATAAACATGCACACACTGATCTAGTGCCTATTGCTAATCAGGTCTTTTTTCAAAATTCTTGAAATTTAAAAAACAAAATTTCTTTTGCATTTCCAAGTATAAACTAAGATCTAAAAAATTAAATCAACATACGAGGAACGTTGCTATGTGTGTTGGGGTGTTGCTTCACTTGATGAAGTAACACAGTTAATTTGTAGTCAAATAAAACATCCATACTTCCTCTTACTTTTTGTACTTGTGGTCAGATGTATCAATCAGCTCCATGATTAGCGACAATGTTGTAATGAATTCCATCGCCAGTCATTTAAACAATATATCTATGGATATTTTCTGTTGTCTAGATACAACAAGCATTTCCTGTGTACAATATTACGGCATCGCTGTATAAAGCAGAATATCTGGACACCATGTATTCACTACTGGTTGCAACACTAAAACACGACATGTGACCAGTTGAAGTTCCAGCAAAATGTATTCTGTAATACAACTGGAGTCTGGTTTGGGAAGTCTGCCTCACAAACTGTATTGACATCATCAAAGTGCTTTTGTTGGTGTTTGTGTTGTGTGTAAGTGTGTTAGTGGCAGTCGAAACTGTTGTAAATCTATTTGAAGTGATTGTCTGTTGCAACAAAATAATGGCATTGACTTACCTGGGATTCTAAGTGCCCTTGGCAGGCAAACTGGGAAAATGGTTATTTTGTTAAAAAATTTGGAATTTTTAATAAATTTATATTCTCTTAAATTCAGAGGTATTTATAGATTTCACTTAATGCCATAATATGAAATGAAGCATTAAAACATGTTCCTATATTTGGTCTTCTACAAAGCCATAACATTAGCAACTACTGATATATATAGGATATATAGTAACACAAACAGGGAAATGTTTAGTTTTAAATTGATCAATAAAAAAAATTTACATTTGCTGCAGACTTTGGGCCAAATATCGGCCTCTGAGCAGGTCTAGAGAAAGCCCTGGATTGAAGTGCTGGTAAAATGTCGAGTGTCATGACCATGTTTTAAGGGCAAGAAATAATAGAGTTATCCACCCTTGTGTCAAGTTGAATGTGGGAGGCTTGATCTTTGGAGAAGTTTCGGGATGGGATTGCTGCCAGTGTAGTCTGATTGCGATCACTCACAGAATCACTCACAGTTTTACTTTATTCACAAATAATGTCGAACCAAAAAAACCGATAACCAGACAGTAACAGAACTTGACTCCTGCTAATAGTGGTGGACTACCTCATTTGGTATACAGTGTTCCCGATACCGGTAATTACCAGGTTTTATTATCAGTAAAATTCCCTGGGACCAGCAAATAAAGTATCTTATAAATGTTTGTAGTTGAACAAACGATATTTGTATAAGTATATGTTTCAAACGAAGTCAGCTTGTCTGTTACCTTCAGGGTTCTTGTCTGTTTTAAGTGCAAGGAAATAACCTTTCACTTTGCTTAACTTTGTGTGAATGTTGTTTAAATCTAACTAGGTTACTTTAGAGATTACGTCATTGCAATCGAACAAGATGTTGAAAGATTTATAAACAGGTAATTTTCATACATCTTTTTATT